CATCCTATTGTGGGACTCCTCAGTAGTGCGTATCCACGATTCCGCTCGCGGGATTCTAACCCAGGACTTATCTGTCACGCACGTGAACGCTTAACTTCTAGACCACTGAGCCGGAATCCAACGGCGTTAATGTCTAAACTCAACCAATCTACGAAATTGAACGACCATCCTCCATTGTACTGAGGTAGATACCTGTCTCTACACGACACGGATTAGCTCCACTAGTCCCGACTTCACAATAGAAGTCTGAGAATTCCCTCACGAAGCTGGTCACTTGTGAGCACATCGTAATTATCAGAAGAGGGTTGTGGAGATTATTATAGTTATTAAGTTAAAAATTAACACCGTTGGATGCCGACCCAGTGATCCTGAGGTTAAGCATTCGCGGGCGGGTCTGAAGGCCCTGGGTTCGAATCCCGCGAGCGGAATCGTGGATACGCACCGCTGGAAGTTCTCATAATGGGATGAAATGGCCGTCCAGTGCTTCCAGGTTTTCAATGGTGGTCTAAAATCAATCGATTCATGATCTGAATCAAAAACTTATTAATCTCCACAACCCTATATTGATAATTTCATTAAAGTACTCAAAATAATGAAACAAAGTAATTGGTGGTGAGAAGTAAATATATAAATATTATGACACGACAAAATCATCAGTTAGTCAGTCAGTCAAGTACAACGTAGGACCAGGCATATATATTCATCAGCTTCAATTGCTACACTCCATTATCACAACAAGATGATCACGAAATTCATGGTAGTTACTCCAATAGTAGTAATATATAAAAGAAAAATTGCATATAAGGATATAATACAGGAAAGAAGAATCGGTTGGTAGAAGAAAAAAAATGAAGCGATTTTCATCTCATAATTTAAGGGAAGACAAAGAGTGTATACACCTACGTCACTGTGATCGATTCTGAGCCATGTCACACACAGTCTCTAACCATTGTTTACGATTGTCACATGGACAACAATCAAGTAGCCTGCATCTACCAACATGGCTAACACTACAAGTTAGTGACTTGAAGCACTGGTGCCACGTTTTGGTTTGGCCGCCCTTAACTTTTTTCCAACCGTCTCTAACACCAGTCAGCATTGCACGTCGTGGTAATCAGTGTTTAGGCATACGTAACACGTGGCCCAACCATCTCAGTCGATGAAGATTCACAACCTCATCAACTGATTTTTCATCATCATTCCTTAATACCCTGCATCTAACCTCACTATTACTTACCCGGTGATCCCAGTAGATGCAAGCTATATTTCTAAGACATATGTGATCAACTACTATTAACTTAGGAGTATCAGTTAAAACTACATAAAAGGTGTGATTTGTTAAGAAATGCTCTTAAATGCCATTAAAAAACAAGAGAAAAAAAGAATCCAATTGGAATGATGTAACTATTCAAAAAGATTTAATATGCACTGCATTAAACATTTCAGGTGGATGGTAGTCATTATTAAAAAAACAGACATATATTTCGGATTCTTTAGTATTTGATGTCAGCACAGCGTATACACAATCTTCAAAGAATTGATGCTATCTATGATATCCTAAATTTTGAATTCAAGCCACTTTTATTAAATAAGAAAGCGATCGATTAACCTAACAACTAAGAAACCACAATTTATTATTTTTAAAAAATCAGTCAGTGATATATAATCTGGGACTTTGCAACCATGTATATCATTTCAGGCTGCTCCATCATAACAGAACAATGAGATGTAATTATCATAAATAGAAACCCAGTGTAGTAAAAATAACTCCACCTGTAGCTCTTCTACAGTTACTGCCGGTCCCAAGCTCGGGTAAAGGTGGACGGTTGGGCATGGGATTACCGACCCCATCCCGTAGAAAACTAACTCGCTAAAAAACGCTAACCAAAAAAATAATTCAAACCATTTTAACTCTGCCCTGAGAGTTTGGTCTTCATTTAGAAGAAATATGACGCCTCATGGTGAAAGCCACGTTCTTAGGAAGCCATGAGGTCGATGCCCCATCTAACAAAAAGGGCAACAATTTTTATAGGTACATGGAACGTCCGAACAATGTGGAAGACCGGGAAGACCAGTCAAATAGCAACGGAAATGAGGAGATACAACTTGGTAGTACTGGGAATCAGCATTAACTTCAACGTGTCAGGAGATTCTGGGCCTAAAGAAACACCATCATAAAGAATGGACCTCAATAGAAACACTGGACAAGATCAAAGAAAGAAAGAACAAGCAGACAGCAACTAACAACAGCCGAACACGAACAGAGAAAGTCCAAGCACAAGCTCAATACATGGAAGCAAACAAGCAAGTGAAGAAGAGCATTAAAGCCGACAAGCAGAAATATGTGGAAGAATTAGCAACGACGGCAGAAAAAGCTGCTACAGAAGGAAATATGAAACAGCTTTACGATACAACGAAGAAACTAGCAGGGAAATACAGTAAACCAAAGAGACCGATCAAAGACAAAGAAGGCAGGCCAATCACTGAAATTCAACAACAGCGGAACAGATGGGTAGAATACTTCGAGAAACTCCTGAATAGGCCGGCTCCAATGAATCCATCGGACATCGAAAAAGCACACACAGATCTTCCTATAGATATCAATCCACTAACAACGGAAGAAACCAGAATGTCCATCAGACAAATCAAGAGTAGGAAAGCAGCATGGCCCGACAACATACCAGCTGAAGCACTGAAGTCAGACATCGAAGTAACTACAAACATGCTTCACCTTCTATTCAAAAAGATTTGGGAGGAGGAACACATGCCAATGGACTGGAAAGAAGGACACCTCATCAAGATTCTAAAGAAAGGAGACCTGAGCAAATGTGAAAACTACGGAGGCATTACACTATTGTCAATACCAGGGAAAGTCTTCAACAGAGTGTTGCTGAACCGGATGAAGGATGCAGTATACGCCCAACTTTGAGATCAACGAGCTGGATTCCGCAAGGATCGGTCGTGCACGGACCAAATTGCGACACTACGGATTATCGTCGAACAATCAGTTGAGTGGAACTCGTCACTATATATCAACTTCATTGATTATGAAAAGGCATTTCACGGCGTAGATAGGAGAACGTTATGGAAACTTCTTCGGCACTGAGGACTTCCTGAGAAGATTGTCAACACTATCCGGAACTCAAATGACGGATTACAGTGCGAGGTCGTGCATGGAGGACAGCTGACAGATGCATTCCAAGTAAGAACCGGAGTCAGACAAGGCTGTTTACTCTCTCCCTTCCTCTTTCTTCTGGTGGTCAACTGGATTATAAAGACCTCGACATCTGAAGGAAAACACGGTATACAATGGACAGCTCAGAATCAATTAGACGATTTGGACTTCGCAGATGACCTAGCCCTCCTATCGCATACACATGAACAAATGCAGATAAAGGCAGCCAGTGCAGCAACAGTCTCAGCATCAGTATGCCTCAACATACACATGGGGAAAACCAAGGTCCTCAAATACAACACGGAGAACAGCAATCCAGTCACTCTTGATGGCGAAACTCTGGAAGATGTAGAATCCTTCACATACCTGGGAAGCATCATCGATGAACAAGGAGGTTCAGATGCAGATGTAAAGGCGGAGATTGGCAAAGCCTAGGCCACATTCCTTCAACTGAAGGACATAGGAAAATCAAAACAACTCTCAACCAATAACAAAGTCAGAATCTTCAATACCAACGTCAAGGCAGTTCTACTGTATGGAGCTGAAACTTGGAGAACTACAACAACCATCATCAAGAAAGTACAAGTATTTATAAATAGCTGTCTACGCAAGATACTCAACACTCATTGGCCGGATACCATCAGCAACAGCTTTTTATGGGGGAGAACAAACCAGATTCCAGCTGAAGAAGAAATTAGGAAAAGACGATGGAAATGAATAGGACATACGTTACGCAAATCATCAAACTGCATCACGAGGCAAGCCCTTACTTGGAATCTTGAGGGGAAGCGGAAAAGAGGAAGGTCAAAGAACACATTACGTCGAGAAACAGTAGCAGACATGAAAATGATGAATAACAACTGGAAGGAGCTGGAAAGGATTGCCCAGGACAGGGTTGGATGGCGAATGCTGGTGAGCGGCCTATACTCCTTCGCGAAGAGTAACAGGTGTAGGTAAGTAAGTAGTAAAAGTATTAACAATGCAATGATTACCTAACACATAACCGATTGATTAATATGATATATATACCTGTACGGAGTCATGATGAAAAGCTAATATCAAAAAAATATTTCTTCAATCTATTTCTGGCCCCTTTGTATCAATGTTTGTGTGTTTAAATAAATAAATAAAATAAAATAAATGTTCAAACAAATTTGACTGTAACAATAATCCATTTGCTGATGTAAATGATGACTTAATTATGAATATGGAAAACTACTCATGTACATATATATGTACCTGGTTACTTAGTTACTGAGTTCAACACAAAAACTAGACTGAACACCATACCAAAATGGTTGCAGAAGCAAATGGATTTCAATAATCAAATAAGATCACAGAATAGACAGACATCATCTTCCATTGCGAAACATTTGATTGAAACTAGTCATACGGTTGACATCAAATCATCATTTCTAGTGTTCTACAAAAGCTTTCAAGAACATATACCAAGGTTTATTGAAGCACTAGCTATACGGAAATTGAAACCCCCTTTATGTGTTCAAAAACAATTTGTCCTTACACTTAACCTATCTTGGTAATACATTTGTTTCTATGTACTTCAATATTTCTTTCCTTTGTTATGGCTCACTCTTAACCTGTCTAGTTGACCTTTTAATTTTTCATATATAAATGTTCTTAACAAGTATCTTATGTGTGATCAGATTGTTCGAAATGTATTACGCAATTCTATCATTTTACATAAATCTGATAAACTTCATCTTCTCATTGCATTATTGAAAAACTAGACCGTTTCAGTTAGAGAATAAAGACGAAGATATAGAAAAAATGTTAAGCGTGAGTAATAATTTATATATTGATTTACCCTTAATGTGACTCTTTTGGCTGGATTCAATACCAATAGTTTACGAAGTAATGCTTCACAATCAGTTGACATATAGAATGGAACACGATATTTGCCACGTAATACACGTTCTTGTAAATCCTAGAATTAATTTATATATACGTATATGTATAAATGTGTATTATATATGTATGAAAAAGCGAGATGAAAAAAAAGGTTGAACCTTATCAGAAGTTTCAATTATCAATCTCAGATTATATCAGAAAAATCAAGTGAAATAATTATCATGAGAACTAATTCCTATGTGTATGTGCCCGCACGACTAACTTTGAACTAATGCATGTCTAAAACAAAAATAAGATGCTGTATAATTGTCTATCTCTTTCATGCAGGAAGTTCACTATTCAGTTAAATTAAAAAATATTCACCCAATGATCCCTTTATTCTACTATTTAGATGGATCTGGAAAAAAAAATCCACCACTTTTCAAGAGATGGTCTATGTGTTGGTAAGTGAACAAGAAGTCATTAGATAACATAAATAGTTTGTTGATGCTAATCTAATTTAAGTAAGTATAAAATGACTACTCTCCCCCCCCCAAATGTCCTGGTACGGCCAAGGGTAGGGAGAGTTAGCTCTCTCTCGCACGAAATGCTCTCACATGGCCACGTCCAAACAACCACTGTCAGGGAAGTCAGACTCATTACCACCTCCTGGTATTACTATTGTTTACGAAATTGAGAGAAAGAAAAGCGAATGTCCGGCGCTTTAAACGGGTTGGTGGGCACAGAGTATCAACCAAGGGGAGTTGGAAAATCTTGATTCAAAACCAACGGTGCAAATGGGCTCCAGGATCCTAAGAGAACAAATGGCGTATAAACCTATTGTTAGTCACTGGCTACCATGGGACTGCATCTCCTAAAGTTGCTCCACTGCCTTGTGAATCAATGATTCATTTGCTTCGGTTTGGGTACCCGGGCAATATAACAGCTCACACACACACTAATCAATGATAGCTGCTACTGGCCTCATTGTTATTGTGTGTATTTGGTGCCCCTTGCACATATTATGTTGATTAAAGTAGGCAAGTGTACCAGAAGCAATCCGAAAAGATATATGTATACAATTAAATGAATGGTTTACGCAAATCCTAAATTTTATAAGTATTTCAAATATTAAAGAAAAAAAGCGGAACGATTAAAACTAACTTTTAAATGTTGTGCATCAAATGGTAATGATCCACTGACAAGTGTATATAAAATTACACCTAATGACCATACATCCACTTCTGGACCATCATATTTACGTCCTTGAAATAATTCCGGTGCAGCATATGGTGGACTACCACAAAAAGTATCTAATTTTTTAGATCCATCAAAAAGATTGGAGAAACCAAAATCAGCAAGTTTAATATTAAAATATCCATCGAAGAGAAGATTCTCAGCCTGAAATGCAATCGAAAATTGTATCGATAATTGAAGTGTTCTACTCTAGTGGGTAAAGAGTAGAATAATGTAGAGCTAATGTGGAGCTAATCTATGGGCTACTACTTCACAAGAGAGCTTCCATTGTATCTGCGTCAACGTACGAAATAGCTAAGGGCGAGAATGGGTTTGTCCTATGATTGTTTTGACTGTTTTTCAAGGTAAAAACTTAAGACATGTAGTTAATCCATAACTGCAAAGAATACGGGAAAACTGAAAGTTATTATGAGAAGTACATATTTTCAGTTTTTAGAGAACTTTCAGAATACAATGATATGAATTCACACAACTGAAAAAACTCAAGATGATTTCCTAGTAATCAAATGTAACAACAAGTAACAAGGCATTATTGCATGTAAACATCACATGAAAACGTGCTAACAACACATTAAGACATTAAATGACGGTCAATAACACAGCCTTTTCATGATTATTTATATTTATTTATGCACACTTTGTAACCTCATCTCCGATATTAAAGATTTTATCTCAAAAGACAGTCCAGCTTACTACTATCCCAACATTTGCTATCCACGCTATTAAAGTCTAAGAGAAGGCAAAGTTACTGGAAACTTAGATTCTCTGTAAAAGATATTGCCGCAAAATTATCAAAGTCAATCAAGCAAACTCTGCTTCCAAGTTGAAGCTTGCTAGTTTTGGTTATGTATAATATACAGAAGCAAATAACTAGTCCACTAAGTAGATGTTTAAAAATTTAAATATACATGAAAATTAATGCGTGAAGAGATAATTTACTACTTAGAGTAATCTGATTCTAAATGAACTCGAAGTTCCAAATAATCGATTGACTTTGATCAAACAATTACCGAGAACCGGGAAGCACAAATACCTGTTTAGTTCTAGTATAGTACTATTCGGAGGTGAACCTATAAAAATCTACAAAAAATTGAATCTCGAACCTCCAACCCTCCAGACAAGCGCTTAACCACCAGACTACTAAGTCAGCACTTAAGGGTTTACATTTCTAGCTTCAGTTATTTCGCGACACTAAATGATTACATATTACCAGTAGTGATATTTATCTCAAGAGCGACATGACTGAATTCCATTAGTCATAGTTCCTTACTAAAACTTCTGTAATCACATCTCGACATTAGGTTATTGATTGTATTTTTAAAACTTAGTTCTCGTTTAGTCTAGAAAATCAAATGGGACACACTTGAATAATTATACTTGAAAATCGTTTATAAATCGACAAAATGAGAAGAAACAGAGCAACAATCACAAACCTTTAAATCTCTGTGTACAATTTTCTTTTGGTGACAATATTCAACTGCTGAAACAATTTGACGAAATGCAGCACGTGCTTCACGTTCTTTCATTCGACCATGAGCTACTAAGTGATCAAATACTTCGCCTTTAATTATTCATTTTGTATTATAAAAGGAAAAGGAAAAGAATGAAAGGGAAACTAATTATCACTTGAATAAATCATAGTTACAAATATTATTGATTATGAATAAATCACTCAAAAGGAAGGTATACAACAATCTATTTTGAAAAGAAAAGAAAATGTAGTTATCTATCTTATATTTGCTTAACTCTCAAACATAAAAGAAACGTTTAATATACTAAGCAGAAAAACAACAACAACAACAACAACATCAACATTACTAATGATCAACAAAGTGTAGAAAAACATGAATACTGTAAACAGTAGAATGATATAATAAACAAACTCGGTGATTGTTTTGAAGATATGATGAGTTAAAGAACTACTGAAAAGATCTACAAGCATTATGCACTATTATATAAATAAAAGAATATTTACTATAAATTTTTATCTGAGGTAATCACTATCTAAATATGCACCCAAATGCCCTGGTACGGTTGAAGGTGCAATGAGTCCTCTCTCCCTCTCGAAATACTCTCACCCGGCAACACGTATACAACCACTGTCATACTCACATGCCTCCTCGCGGCAATACTGTTTTTTACGAAATTAAGAGAACAAAAAGCGAATGTCCGGCAATTTAATCGGGTTGGTGGACACGAAGAGTCCACCTAGGAGAGTTGGAAAACCCTGGTTTCAAACCGATGGTACAAATGGGCTCAAGTATCCTGAGAGAACAAATGGCGTATGAACCTATTGTTGGTCACCCGCTACCATGGGACTGCATATCCTAACGTTGCTCCACTGCCTTGTGGATTAGACCTTTCAGTCAAAGGTTCCGGGTGTGGCCCCCTAAGGAAACCACCTGCTTCGATTTGGGCACCCAGTCAGTATCATAGCCCATATACAAACCAAATGTTTTGTGTGGCGCATATATATTTGGTGCTCCATTGTACCAATATTGATGTCTTCAAATAAATAAATAATAAATTGACAATTAGGTACGTAATGGATTTAAAAAGTAACAACAACAAAATACATTGTCCAACTATGTCAGACTTACACAGTGTCTCATACAATTCGATCATCATAAGTAACAAATAAATAAATAATAAACATAACTGAACAATCTGTAAGACAAGATATCAACCACATAGTTAACTAGTTATAATTATACACCTGATACACATGTCTTTAGTCAGTTATAAATAATGTAGAACCTGGCATATATGTGCATCAGTCCAAATTGATACAGCACATTAGCAAACCGAGAAGAAATTATTGAGATAAATAGCAGAGTAGTAGAATTAGTAAAAACAAAACAAGTAGTAGTAGGAAAAAAATAGGCAATGACAATAGAATATGAGAAAATGAATGAACCAGCAGAATATAAAGTATAAAATTGTTTAAAAACTCAAGATTTAAACAAAGATAAAGAGTGAATAAATTTACACCATTGCGAACAATACTATACTATGTAACACACACAACCATGTTACAATAATCGTTCAGATCTTAAACAGTTAATCTACACTTTCCAACATGGATTGGTTCAACAGTTAATGACTTCATGGAGTAGTATCACATTTTAATTTGACCACTCCTAGATCATAAAAAATCGCATGTTAAGGTAAGAAGTGTTTAGGCATACATATAATACATGCTCCAACTAACCCAATCAATAAAGATTCTCAACCACATTAAACTATTCACATCTTTACTCAGTATTTTGAGTCTAACAGTAACATTGTTAACTTATCTCTTCAGTAGACATTTTGTTTAGAACACAAAAACAAAACAGAAAAAAGAGAAGATATCCGTATAAGCAGTAAAATATACAACAATAACATTCTCATGAAAACATGAGAGCTTATGCAAATTATTCAATTTAATGTTAGTTTTTATTGCACATTAGAAATGTAGAATTCAGATAGTAATTGACATATTGCTTCGAACTAGTATTTGAAATCTTTCAATAAAGAATATAAATCATTTACGATCCAATACAATGTTGAACTCATAGAAACTTTAAAGCAAATATCAAAGAGTACTATATCTTTTATTGATTTATTTATTTAAACACATAAACATTGTTACAAGTAGATACCAAATAGATATGCTCCACATAAATCATTCGATTTGTGCGAGAACTGGGATACTGCCCGAGTGACCAAATTGAAACAGGTAGTTTTCTTAGGAGGTCACAACCAGAGCCTTCCACCTAAAGGTCTGATCCACAAGCAGTGGAGCAATGTAAGGAGATGCAGTGCCATGGTAGACGGTGACCAACGGTTGGTTTATATGCCATTTGTACCTTCAGGATATGGGAGACCATGTGCACTATCGGTTTGGAATCAGGGTTTTTCAACTGCCCTAGGTGGACTTTCCGTGTCCACCAAACTGTTTTAAGCGCCAGACATTTGCTTTTCGTGTTGTCAATTTTGTAAAGAACACCCCCACCACGAGAAGGCAATGAGTAGGACTTCCCTAACAGTGGTTGTATGCAAGTGACCATGTGAAAGCATTTTTCGAGGGAGAGCTGACTCTCTCCACTCTCGGTCGTACAAGGGCATTTGGGGGCTCTACTATTTTTAAACCACTAAGTCACTATATTCTATGATTATGATTGAACTCCACAAATTATGATTTCAGATGGAAATAAAACAACTAGAGAATCTATTACAAAGTTGGTCACAGGTAATAGATTACAAATGTCAATTCTTTCTAGTTCTCAATAATTAAAATGGTAACATTCCAAGATAAAATAAATATGAACACTAGTAACATAGTAACTATGCAAGATAATTAGGATAAATGGACAAGTTTTAAAAAAAGAATGAATGAAGCAAGATGAAGACTGAAGAAAGAAAGAAAGAGAAAAAGAATTAACCATATTGAACACGATAAAATAAACATCGATTGTAGAATAGTATATGAATAAATATGTATATGTATATCTAGAATATAAACAAATTATGTGAACATTGAATTACAGTGTAAACACAAATTACATATGCCCTCATATATCACAAGATAGAGACCGAAAGGATTCACAACAAAACTATGTCGATACATACACACACCCACACAAAGTATTGTGCCAGCAACCAACAAAGGTCAAAAGATGAATGAAAATGCAAATAATAATAATAATAATAATAAGTACGAAATAGCAATAGTTATATGATACACAAAGTAACCATAATGGATTGTAACGCCTACACAGTATTATACTCACAAATAAACATGTGTTGAAACAATAGCACTTTGATGATTATACTTTTTTTTTCTACTTTCAAACTAGAAATACCATTTCAAAGTTAGAATAATAAGTAGCACTAATCATAATACACTGAGATCAATATTCACCATAAACAACTAATAACTGCTTTGAACGAATGCCAAAAAAGTAAACGACGATTATGAAACAATCATAAATGGTAATATGTAGATAGATGAATAATCAAAGTAAATGGAATTTGGAAATGTTTACTAATTTCATCATATAATGTATTTAATGTTCTACTAGAAGAAAAGATTGGTAGTCTGTATAATATGATCAATGGACGAAAAATTAACATTAAACAAATTTTGAAGAGTTTAAGTCAACGGTAATTATCAGAAAGGGATTTTTGTGGATATTATATTCATTTTAATAGTTCAAATCATGAGACAATTGAACCTGGACGACCGTTTCGTTCTAGTATGGGATACCTCAGCAGTGAGCATCCACGATCAATGGAAAATACTTAATGTTGTGTGCAACGATGACTTAGTGATAAATGCTAAAAATCACGAGTCTCAGTGATTAAACATGAAATTCTTATGAGATAATTACAAAACAAGTATGTAATTGAAGTAATTTGGTCAAAGTGAAAAAAGTTAACTGACCAATATACATAATGGTTAAAGTGAAAACTGACTACACTGCTAAGCAAATGTAGCAAGTATTTGCTTCGGTAATAATATTCATCATTGAAAATATATTGAAAGTAATTCAGAAACTTTAGACAACATACCACAATTTATAAGCCTAAAATATAAAAGGACAGACTGTACAACACACACTAAATAACCGTCGAACAACGGTGTCTTCTCAGAACATTTGCAGATAATGAATATTAACTGTACGCGTTAAGAGTATAATTCATCATTTGTCCAAATCGATTTAAGTAAAGTGATTAAATAAACAAGCATATTGACGAGATTTCAAGAACCAAATAAAATTATTTCAGTTCATGATGAGCAAGAATTAGATCCAACACCCAATTTTTAATTAATTAGAAAGTATTTAACTGTGATTGCCTATTACATTTTTCAGCATTACTTTTAGTTTATTTATTATTTATTTGAAAACATAAATATTGGTACAAATAGGGTATCGAATACATATGGGCCACATAAGTCAATTGATTTGTGTGTCGGCTGTGACACTGTTCGGATACCCAAACCGAAACTCGTGATTTTCTTAGGGAGCCCCACACCCGGAGCCTTCAATCTAAACGTCCAATTGAGCCGGTGATCAATAATTGGTCCAGACGTCATTTATTCCCCCAGGATCCTGTAGTACATGTGCATCATTGGTTTGGAATCGGGGTTTTCCTATTCCCCTAAATGGATCATTCATACTCGGATATTCGCTTTTCATGTTGTCAATTTCGTAAACAATATCCCTGTCATGAGAAGGCAGTGAGTGGGACATCCTTGGCAGTGATTGCATATAACCTTACCATATGATAAAATTTTGAGAGGAAGAGATAACTCTCCCCACCTTCGGTCGTCTCATGGTATTTGGAGGTGTTACTTTTAGAGTTAATATTCAGTAAAAAAAAACTGTATTATTTCAGAACATAGTAAACGATCTTGTCTTTGATTTCAAACAGTTCAGTAGCTGACATCAATAATTTGATTTCACAAGTAACTATTATTTGGTTACATCATATCATAACACATTGTCTATTCATTACCATTATACTTATTGATTTTGACAAGAGATAATTTGTTCATTAGAATTCTATTTTATA